GTTCCCTGAGCCAGAACTATAGGGCTTCTGGAATTTTCTCTGTCCACATCCTGGTCCCATTTCTGCCTTTCAGACTGTGTTGAGTCTGCACCGGGGGAAATGGGAGGAAAAACTGGAAACTCACTGTCACTTTTGTGGGCCTTCAAATGCTCGCCTGTCTCTGTATCTGTCTGTTACTGTTTGCTTTTCAGAATCCACAAATGCTTCATGCTTTCTGTCCCGTCTTTATAGCTGCACTCAGTGGGAGAGACAGAGTCAACTGAGCCTACTCCATCCCACCCAAAACGGGGACCCAGGAAACGTGAGCGAGTAACGTAATGAACACACATAAATCCTTCACCTCGATTCAGTAGCTCTTACTATCTTGCTACATTTGATTTATCTTTACCGATGTGTGTGTGGAAAAATATACATTTTATTCTGGACCATTCGAAAGTAAACTACAGGCACCATAACAATTCACCCTGCACACCTCACACCTCTCAAGGACAGGAGCAGTGTCCTGTGGCAGCACAGCACCACGGTCGCACCTGACAACTGCAGCAGTTCTACATGCTGTCATTTTGGGAAGTGCATTTGTGTGAGATACCTTTTTCTATGTTTCCCCCCCTTATTCTCATGATGTGGACGGGTCCCTTGTAAACAGTATCTATTTTGACTTTTTAAGAGTCAGACTGATCATCTTGGTCTTTCGAATGAGAACACTTAGTTTGCTTACATTTAATGTAACTACCGACATATTCATGCTTGAATCTTCCATCTTTTAAAAGTTCTGCAGTTTTTCTAGCTGTTCTGTTCTTTCTGTCCGCTATCTTGTCTTCTTCTCATTATTTCTATTCCATCTGTTTCTTTCTACAGGTCTGGGAGCCGTTGGTTCTGTTGAGATCCCTGCAGAGCTCACCCTGGAAGTCACACGTGCTTCCGGAACTACCGGGCTTAGTCTAACTCGAACCCTAACTCTCTTGTCTTGCTCCTGCCTTATCTGCCGCTGTTGGCTTGTGTGTTGATCTCGCATTTTCTAAAACCTTGTCATTTGTACACATGTTCTTTACCGTGCACGTGGTCCCTGCTCATTTGGATTTCCTCACACGCAGGCCACTTCCTCCGCTCTGGCCGCCTTGCATCTGGGATTACTTTCTTCGTGGACGTGCCTCCTTCAGACTGTTTCCTTCTGCAGCCTGCCACGGCAAGCTCTCTCCCTGCTGTCTGTCTGCAGAAAGGATGGTTTTAGGTCAGCAATCGCATCAGTTTCCTACTGCTGCTGTAACAAATGGCCACACACGTCGTGACTTAAAGCAACGTGGACTTACTATCATTCAGTTCTGTAGGACAGAGGTCTCGCTGGGCTAAAATCAAGACAGGCTCCTTCTAGAGGCTCTAGGGCAGAATCTGTTCTCTTACCTTTTCCAGCTTCTAGAGGCTTCCTGCTTCCTTTGGCCCAAGGCCTTTCCTCCATCTTCACATCTCTCTCTGACTCTGACCCTCCTGCCTCCCTGTCATTAGGACCCCTGTGATGACACTGGGTCCACCTAGAGAATCCACCTTAACGACATATGCAGTGCCTGTGCCATGTAATGTAATCTGTTCGCAGGTTTTGGGGACGCACTGATGCAGGCGTGCCCAAAGTTCCAGGCCGAGGGTTGGGTTCTTTGAGTATGTGCCTGGGTGAGGTGGGGGAGGGCAGGGTGGCCTGGGGGCAGCCCCTCCCTGAAATTGGAGGGTGGCAGGGAGGGAGGGAGGCCACAGAGGTCTGCAACGTGGGTGGAAGGGACTCAGTCCCAGCCTGCTCCTCCTCTGCCTCTCGACCTCATAGGGTGGGCCTGGGTGGGGTGGGGGGTTGTCACTGGTGCTGCCTCCTCCCCCCAGGCCCTGGGAGCTGGTCTGCAACGTGGGTGGAAGGGACTCAGTCCCAGCCTGCTCCTCCTCTGCCTCTCGACCTCATAGGGTAGGCCTGGGTGGGGTGGGGGGTTGTCACTGGTGCTGCCTCCTCCCCCCAGGCCCTGGGAGCTGCAGCTGGAGTGGCCTTTCTCCCCAGCCCCCTTTGGCCCTTGAGGCAGAGGGGCCTGTGGAGGCGTCCCTGGGGGAGATGAGCCACCTGTTGGATGTGGGGCCCCTTCCTGGGCACAGAAGTAGCTTCGGGGTCCTGACAGCACGTCCTCAAGTGAAAGAGACAGTGTGTCCCCCAGCCAGCCACCCCAGTCCTCACCAATGCGCACCTTTCATGGACCACCCATGGGGGCACCTGCTGTCCTTGCTTCCCACCACTCCAGCGTATGCCTGTCTGTCCCCTGGGGCCCAGGAGGGCCGCAGGTCAGGTCTTGGTGCAAACCCAGCTACTGTGCAGGGCCTCTGTGTGAGCAGATCTGGTGCGAGCCCAGCTCTACTCCTTCCCAGCAGTGGGAACCTGGGTGTCCCTTTGCGCTCTGACCCTCAGTCTCCTCTGTGAGAAGGAAGTGGGGGGCCCATGCGAGGCGCGGGAGAGGGGCGGGCGATGAGGGGCCTGGAGGCCCCAGAGTCTGTGCCAGGCCTGAGCAATGGGGCATGGGGAGGGGCACATGAGGGGTGACACTCAGGCTGGGCACAGGAGACCTAGGATAGGTGGGCCTGGGTCCAGGTCTCTAGGGAGAGAGGCCTGGGCAGGGTGTGGGGGAGGGGTGGCCAGGCCTGGGGGCTCTGGCTTCCTGGGGCAGGGGCTCCCCTTGAGGATGGGGTCTGTCCCATCGCCTCTCAGCCCTCAGCCCGGGTTTGGCAAGAAAGTGAGCCAGCGAGGGAGACCCTCGTGGAGAGGATGGGCCGGGAGGACGGGGAGGAAAAGGCCAGCAGTGCAGCGGCTCTCTGGCTATTTGTCCTGGCCGAGTGCTGAGAGGAAGGAAATTCCCAGGCCCGGCTGCAGCCAGAGGAGACCCAGGTGGGCCCGGAGTGGGCTTCCTGGGTCAGGTGTGTCCACCCAGTGGGTGTAAAAATGGGGTGTGTCAGTGGGGAGCAGGAGCTCATGGAACCTTGGAGGCGGGGCATGGGCTGATGATCCTCCATGGAGCCCTCTACTCCAGGTGTGCAGCTCCGAGTGGTTGGGGGTCCTGTGTGTGGCTGTGGGGACCTCTGGGAGGTGGTGCTGGGTGGGGGCAGCGGCTGGGGCGAGACCAAGGGTGGGAAGCAGAGTTAGAGGCCTTCCCCAATCAGTGGGGCCTGTGGTGCTGCCAGGGGCAAGCTGAGTGCCCGACCGTCATGGGTGACATTAAATTTTATGTCTTTGTCTAGACAGGGCAGTAAACTGAGCCCCCAGGCCTGGGGTGCTGTAGAGGGGAGGGGCCTGGCTGGGAGTGAGCCTGTGAGTGACTTTGGGGGTGTGTGTGAGGGCCTGCGGGCCTCCATCGTCACTGGCTGTGATCAGGCACAGGTGTGGGGACCCACAGCCTGGTGCAAAACTCCAGCCAGTACAGCCGTGTGCCAGGTGTGTGAGAGACAGGTGCAGGGGGCAGTGGAAGCCCAAGGAGCCCACGGTGGGCCAGCTGCCTGAGACTGCAGGTGGAGTAGAGCCAGCGGCAAGGGCCCCCCAGTGCACAGGCGCAAGCAGTGCGGAGGTGCTGGTGCAGAGCAGGGGGGAGTGGGGATGGCAGGAGATGCGGCCAGGACCAGAGGACCTGGGCCCCAGGCAGTGGGGAGCCACGGGGCAGCAGGCCGGAGAATGGTCCGCCCTGCCCTGGAGGGTCGACGGGAGGGGGAGGCTGAATGTGCCCGGGCCGGGAGGTGAAAGAGTGGTGGCTGCAAGGCAGGGGCAGGGGGCCGTGGAGAGGCTTTTAGGGTCGATTCATCAGGACCTGGATGACTCTCAGTCCCGGGTTAGAAAAGCTGCCCCGAGCCCTGCCTCCCGGATGGGGGCCCGGGCATCCCTGGGAGCCGAGGGAGCACGCCAGGCCCCTGCCCAGCGCGGCGCCGTCCGCGAGACAGGGCGCCCGGCTTCCCAGCGTTAGCGGCCTCGGGCCGGCGGCAA